CGAGACGAGACCCGACTCGGCGAGAGTCTCGTGTAGTCTCGAGTCTCGAGATTACACTTAAATTTTTTTTTTCATAGCTTTATTATTGAACTATTCTGGGCTATTTGAATATGAAATCACTAAATTAAATATCAGGTTTACTATTTACTGTGATTTTTCACTAATTGCTTTTTCACTGTGGCAGTTTGGACTTCCATTATAATATAAAAACAAAAACCATAAATACAGGGTGTCCGAAAAATAGCGTAAAAACTCTCCACGTAGTAGAGGAACCTTTGAGAAACCCTAGAAAAATAATTAAATTTAAAAAAAAATCCTTCTCCAGCATTATTCTTGGTAATATGAAGAGGTAGATGTGAAAATTCACCTTCGAATTCTTCAGGTAGTTACATGGGTAATTAATTTAATTCTCTGACATATTGTCAACGAGATATTTTCAGTGTTTCCAATTTCAATAAATATTAAAATGCAAATAACTTTCTTAAGAATGCCACTAGATTTTTTAAAGTATTTTTCTGGGGTTCCTTGTAGGGTCCTACACTACGTAGAGAAGAATTTTTACCCTGTATAACTCGAGACCAGACGAGACCACTCGAGACGAGACGAGACTTTGGTACTCGAGACCGAGACTAAATCACAGTCTCGTCTCGAGATGTCGAGACGAGACGAGACCAACCCTAAGTCTCGTCTAGTCTCGTCTCGCGGCACCACTATCTATGATCTCTTGATGTTGAGGAGGTGATACCAATTCTCAAGTTGGCATCTTTTCCATTGAATTCAGTTCTTCTTCTATCGCGATCTTCAAACCTTTACTACTTCGTCATAGGTCTGTGTTACATCTGTTATTTAATTTCCAGCTGATAAAGCTTTCTTCAAAGTTTAGGTTTGCAGTCGTCTAAATATCGTGGTTTCTGTCTAATTCGGGTACCGTGTCCTTTGTTTTCATTACTTGTTATTTTTAACTTTTCTGTTTTCCCAATTTCTTCTATATTTTCAACATTTTCTTCTTTTTCTTCTTCCAAATCTTCTGCTGTCTCATCCTGTTGACTCAATTCATTTATGTTTATGTCGGTTACATTCCTCTCATTCTTAGTTTCATTAAAAACTACATTTTCTTGCATAAACTATTTTATTTTTTTCTGGGTTCCACAGCCTATATCTGTTATTAGAGTATCCTATTATAATCATCTTTCTGCTTCGAACATCGAATTTAGTTTTCCTATCTTATTTTGGGATTAAATTATATGCTTCGCAGCCAAAAAGTTTGATTTTGTTGAGATCTGGTTAAAATCCATACCAAATTTCTACTGGGGTTATTTTGGTAATACACTTGTTTCTGTAGGATGCAATAAGTAAACAGCACATCTCATAGCTTCTCCCCAAAAGATTTTTGAAAAATTTGAATCCAAAATCAAACATCTTGCAATATTCATAATATTTCTGTTAATAATTTCTACAACACCATTTTGTTGGGGATTTCTCGGAACGGTGTATTGTGTCTGTTTGCCATGATATTTGCATGGATTTTCGAAATTTCTAGAAATATATTCCCCACCATTGTCACAGCGTAACCTTTCTATTTTTCTTTCTTTGGAGAAAGTCATATTTATAAATTTTTCGTTGCACAACGAGTGGTGTTATGGACTAGGTTCTAGTGGTGTTATAGAGTACCTAGGTTATGAATCTATAACACAACTATTTTTGGTGATTTGACAAATGTCAAAGGTAAACCTGTAGAGGTAAAATGAAGGTAGACAACTACTAATAAATGAAAATAATCCAAAAAACATTCTTATTTTTCGCTTTGTAGATAAAACGTTGTACATTACATGTGCGTTTAAACATGACTACAAAACTCGTGTAATTAGAACGACTCGGTCTACGACAATTAAGCAATTAAGCAAACCACACAAAAATAAGGGTAGTGGTCAATAAAACTTACATAATAGTTGTTTCCGTCATGCGTTGCTGGATTGATGGGACCACATACGTCGCTAGAAATGGTTTCTAAAATTCTTGTTCGCTTTCTGAAATAAGTTATTCTGCAGTAGGGTTTTTTAATCTGTTTGCCTTTCATGCATATTTCACATATTCCGGGACTAGGAAATTTTGCAGTATGTCCCATTTTTCTGTGCATCAAAAATGGATTTTCTCATGTGCCTTGTGGCATAAGCTGTTTAATTTTCAGGCAAGTTCATGGTAACTGTATATAAATTTCCAGTTGGTTTTCCTTTTAAAATTTTCATTTTTCCTTTCTTAGTGATACCTCCTTCCTGAATAAAACTTCTAACTCGGCTTCTTCTAATTTTCAAACCGACAATAAATTGCATAATAATCCATCACAAACGCAAACATTGTTTATTATGATGGCCTGGTTTCCAGTCTCAACTTCCATGTTTCTTTCTTGCACAGCTTTTATTACAGAACCAGATTTTGCTAGATTTATGTTATAATCAATAGCTTTTGAATCAGTTATATATTTGCGAAACTTATTTTGAACAAAGATGGTGTCTTGCACCACTATCTATAACAAAATCAATTTTTGAATTGTTAGCTGTACTTGCCTGTTCATTTGTCGTCAAAAATGAAATCGGGTTATAACTATTTTCGTTGCTTTCTTCACATAAATTCCTCTTCTTGACCATCTTCTGCCTTGTCGAAATCCTCTTCCCCTTTGTGTACAATAAATCGTCTGTGACCTCTTTTTCCACAATTGTGGCAATTATATTATATGGAAAATAATTATATCTGTTTCACTATTTGGATTAACAAAATTGTCACCACTTCTATTTCCTCTGTTTCCAAAATTTCTTCTATTTCCAAAATTCCTATAATTCCTATGTCCTCTGTGTCCTACAAATACTGCATCATTTACTGTTTGTTTCTCGTCATATGCCTTTGACTGTCGAGTCTCTTAGTTTTTGACAAACTCTAATGTCACTTTCGTTTCATCATGAGTGAATATGATATCAAGGGCTGTAACAATGCCTTGAAATGACTCCGGCATCGATGATGGTAATTGTGAAATTATTTCATTCTCTTCAAGTTTTCCACCAGCAACTTTTAGTTCAAAAACAGTGTGCTCAAACTCAGCTATAAAAGAGTTAAGAGGAGTTCCTTCAATATATTTCAGTGACCTTAGTTTCCGTTGTAGCTGTACCTGCGTGTTGCTATTCTAGTTTTACAGTATGTTCCTCGGAGTACCTGAATAATTTTCTTAGCAGTAGTTTTTCCTTTGGCCAGTTCTAAAACGTTATCTGAGAGACATTGTATCACGGATGTTTCGTGCTTTTACGTAATTTTTGGAAAAGGCGTTAAGTTCAACCACGCTTGTCGCTGCAGATGTTGTCTGTGATAAAACAGAAAGCACTCCTGCTTGTTCCAGTACTAGGCTGACTCGAAATTCCCAAATAGAAAAACCGCTTCCATCGAGGGCTTTGTTGTTACTGGTTTGCGGCACATTTAAGGTCATGTTTTAAAGTATATTCCTTGAGTATTCCACAAGCTCCACAATAATTTTGTTGTAAAAATTTTTTCATTTTATTGACGTTTACTTACCCTCACGGTTTCCAAAGTTTTGCACTTGATATTTAATTTTCCAGTCTGGGCCACACAAAATTCCAAAATGCCGACTGGTTGGCAAAAGTCATGTGGTTTGGATAACAACGGGTGCTAACGCTAGAAGATCTAGTATTGGACCATAGATACCCATTCTACCACAGTTTCTATAACCTCTGTTTGCAATTTTTTGTCATTTTTCTAATAATGACTTATCACATTTATCTATGATCAAATATTTTCTTTAAAGTACCTAACAAAAGTTTTCAAACTAGGTAGGTATATTTTATAACAAAATAGAATCAAGACTCATTCATTGATAAAAATTTTGAAAATTAAGAATTTATCCTACTATACATGTCATCAGCTGTTACCAACAATGACATATAGTCTATGCACCGAGAGCTTACCCCTAAGTTGTAAAACACGGCATGGCTATAAATCATGCGAAATATAAAGAGAGGACGGCTCTACCTGAAATTCTCAAAATGTTTTGTGGTCATGAGATTTTGTGAAGAAATATAATTTTTACAGATAGGTATTTACATTTCGTATTTATTTAAAATGCAATATATGTATTCATCTAATGTTGAGTATAGATTATTATACTTTTATTATTATTAATATTACATATTGTTTACAAGTAAAACATAATTATTATCTAACTTAACACAAAATTTTGTTTTGTTTGGGAAGCACTGGAATTTCGGTATAAATCTTGTTCAAAAACTTTGACAGGCCCTATATTAATTCAGGTGCCCGTGTACAATTTTTCAAAATTACTTTAAAATATAATTTTGCCAAGTAATATTTTTTTATGGAGTAAATTTTAAATAGGCAACTACTCTATAGACATTGATTTTTGACATAGGTAACTCAAAAACTTTAAAATTAGTTTGAAAAAGGACTTTATAGAACTAAATGTAAATTCTTTCACTTGGTCTTGTACTAATTTATTGTCAGCCCTGTGTTTTACAACTTAAGGGTAACCTCTGGATGCACAGACTATAGATAATCATTTAACACTAGCATAGGTACTACGATACACGAAATTTTAGTTGAATATCAAACATTTTTGGAATTTGCGAATCAGAAACGTCAGAAAGCCAGAAAAGAACTGAATAAAAATGGCTAAAAGTTGTTTCAATGAAAAGCCAAATGCAGCCAAAACATTTGCCTGAAACTTAATTGAAGACAATCGATCGTTTGTGAATATCAAATTTCAACAAGCATGTCTTTATAAAGCCAAGACTTGAGGTAATTATTATCACCTTCGATAGATATTAATATTTACACAACTACTCTACCGATAGCATTGACATAACTGATTCCAATATTTGGACAATAAGAATTCAAATAACAACGTAAAAGTGACCTAAAAGAACAGAATCTTTCGATTTATAACTTAAAGAAAAATGCAAGATAATGGCGAATTATTCTAGAAAATATTTGAAATACAAAGTTGGTATTGCCATAGTTTTGTTAGTGGTGGATTTTCTTAGTTTCGTAGAAAGTACAGAGTTTTCTTTGAAGAAACGTGTCAAAAGAAAAGTGTTATTTACTAAAAGTAGCAAATTTTTTGTAAGTATGCCATTAAATTTCTGAATTAAATTTTAAGCTCCTTACAAAACGTTTCTTCTATGCACAACACTCATAAAAGAATTCAAAGAAGCTTTTAAAGTTACATTTTTTTCAGTTTCGAATTAATGGCAAGGACAATATGTTAAACCATACAACTTTTTTCTCCCACGGTTGGGGTTTCCGTATAAACTACGAATTACCATCTACTGTAAGTCAGAGGCGTCGATTTTTTAAAAGGGACTTGCATAAAGATGTGGAAGATATAAAAGATCCGTATGTAACTATTAATATAAGTTTTTAACTCGTAATTAATTTTCAAGCTGATTCAAATCAGGCGACACTTGAATTTAAAGCTGTGTCACAAAAAAATGACTATTCAAAAGATTTAAATTTATTCCATATGGTTTCATTTCCAGGATATTGCAAAATCTTTATGGGCAAAAAAGCAGATTTATGGCCAATAGCGTCGACAAAGAGGAGAATCTGTTCGGTGCACGAATGCATAAAATTCACCTAAATATTCATTTAAGCGTCAAAATTTTTAGATATGAACCATGGACGGTTTGGGAATCAAAATAACAATATTTTTACTATGTAACTTCTGCTTTATTGTGTTAAATTTTTATTCGTTCTCTTGTTTTACGATGTTTGTGAAGCCTACAAAGACAAGTTGTGTTTTATACTACATACCTATTTGTATTTTCAGGATGGTATCTGGTATGGTTAATTGTGTCCTAAAGAGAGTATGTGCAATTCTGAATCAACCATTCATTGACCTGAACTGTGGAATATTTTGTGGGATAGGAAAAATAATTGCAAGGTATGCACAAAAATTATCTGTCATCAAAAATCGACACAAAAAAAAAAAACGATCCAAACCCTGGGTGAAAGTATCTCACCGCTCTTGACGGATCATCCATTTTTCTTAATAAAGGGATAACTCCCAAAACAATCATTCATCGCTCAGACAGTATCCGTTAGAGTATATTGAATATTTTTATATCTTTTCAGCTCGCAAGGCATAGAGGCGGACTTTTTCAAGACGTTCAGCGCAAAATGTCAACTATATCAAGAAAGGTGCCCGGCAAGTTTTGACAAATCGTCTATCTTTGGGTTTGGATAGGGAAGGATGTTATGTATATAAATAATAAATGGCAATTTTAATTGTTTTATTTATTGAGTGTCTTCAAGATAAATTCCCTTATTCGAACTACTACACAAAATAATTACAAGTTGTTCAATGTTTAAAGTTAAATGGAAAACAAAGATTAGAGGTTGTACCTACTAGTTTCACGAAAGAAAACTGAAGTTAGACAAAGTTTTCACATTAATCAAGTTCCCTTAACGATAAATCTCAGTCATTTGGGAGTTTTTCGAACGAAAACAATATTCATGTAGAGCATTTTTTTTTTTTTTTTTCGTTCCGTTTTGATTAAACTCTCACGAGAATAATTTTCTGAGACTGCTTTCTGGACCTGAAGCTCTGTTAATAAGATTCAGTTGATTTTCTTGGGAAATGAAGCTTCACCTGTTTCCAGTAAAAACCTCCAATACATCGGCCGAAAAATTCAATAAAGATATTCCCATATCAAAAGGGAATCGTTTTTCATGGTCCTTCGAGCAAAAAGTTGAATAGAAGACAAGGATAACTCCCTCGAAAAAACGAAGTTACAGTAAAATTAACAGCAAAAGGTTCAATCAGCCACCGACAACAACAGTCCAATTCAAGGACACACCGACGGATCACGTGCACCAGCCACTTCAATCCAACTTCATCTCCAATTCACAGCGAGCAGCCAAACCGTCATCGTTAGTGGATCGAGTCTACCAATCGGTGCATCATTCACCGCCGTCCAAAAACAAGTAAACTTCAACTCCAGCCTTAAATCTCATCTTCAGTCTCAAATCTGAACTCTAACAAGCAAACAATTCGTCACCATCAGTAGATCGTGTGCACCAAGTGACAGCCCCTAACAGATACAGAAGTTCTTAGAGAAAAAACTCCACGCAACTTCAGCTCAATGTCTACCATAGGCGAAGAAATGAACCGCCTTGCGCTGGAACAGCAACAACATAGGCGAGCCATGCAACGTATACTGACAAATATGAAGACAGATTCATCAAGCCGAAAAACCATCCAATACTTCGAGGAAAAAGCCAACTCTGTGAAATCATTATGGATTACAATCCATGAGAACCACAAAAAGATCAACGAATTGAGTTGCCCCACCCACAATTACCAAACCGCCAACTACATTGAACAACTCAAGGAGGTCTATACTGAAACAGTGGACTACATAGAAGACGCTATAAGAAAAGTCGAAGGTCGAACAAAACAAAACGAGATGACAACAAAGGTAACAGCACTGCCAAACCAGATGGAAGATGTCCTAAACGACACTGTTGCAGAAATTGATGATCACACCCCAATCAACCGCCGTCAGCAGCTCCAAGGCAAATACCAAAAAATTCAAGCAGATTTCGGAGCTATACCTATAACTCGAAATCCAATCGGTCCATAAACCTTACAAGCCTGCATACAAGGCACTTGAGAAACAACACGAGCAGATACTGCTACAGCTACAACCGAATGAATCTACAAGCAATCATCCACTCACACCAGCATCGCCACAAGTCATACCTACTGTCATTATCTAGCAACCAAGGTCAAGCAACATAACGCTGCCTCAAGTGACACTGTCAATGTTCGATGGATTATATGAAGTATGGTCCACTTTCAGGGACATTTTCACGAAAATTGTTCATGAGAATGGTGACCTCACCGACATCGAAAAAATGAAATATCTGAAGACCCACGTACATGGTGAAGCCAGTAGAGTCATTCAACATCTACAGATAAACAGTGACAACTGCATTGCAAACTAGAACATTCTCGAGAGAAGATACTACAACGAGAGACTAATCATCAACAAGCTGATTGATAAGATCTCGGAAACACCATCAATCACTCACGAATCAGCGTACAAGCTGAAGCAACTGCATGAAACAATGATAGAATGTGTAGAAGCGCTCTACAACATGAAGGTAGACACCAAATCGTGGGGACCACTAATCTCAGGACTAATTTGTCACAAATGGGACTCCGAGACAAATCGATTATTTGAGCAATCCTTGCGAGAGCCAAACAAAATGCATCAGCTAGACGACGTACTCAAGTTTCTGCAAACAAGATTTCAATCCCTTTAAGCCTGCGTACAAGGTAAAAAAAAAGACAGGCGAGCAAACCGACAGCACAACTGAAAGCGGCGGTTACTGCAACGAGCCTAGCCACAGCATCTACAACTGTCAGAAGTTTCAAGCCTTACCTCCACCTGCAAGATTTAAATTAATCAAGGAAAAGAAGATCTGCATAAACTGCCTGAGACACCCAGCGCACATAAGATGTAATTCAACCGTCGTATGTCACACCTGCAAGAAATTCCACCATAAAATGGTACATGTAGACTTTAAGAACAGGGAAACCAGAACGGAGAAAGAAGCTTCCAGCAACCAAACAACAGAAATATCCATCCAAATCAGCAACCCCGTAGAGACACAAGACAGTTCTCAAACAATCACCTTGGGAGACATAACGAATTGGTCCTGTTGGCAACAGCAATCATCAAAGTCCACAATAACCAAGGAATAGTTGAACATTTACGTGTGCTAATAGATCCAGGCTCTCAATCCACATTCATAACTGAAGAAGCTGTTTCATCACTATCCATACCACGTCAGCGCATAAGAGCCGACGTATCCGGACTTTGAAGCGCAGAACTCCAAGTTGCAAAATGGATGGCAGAAAATAAATGTCAAGCCAAGATTCCCGAGCAGTTTCTCAATGGAAGTTCCATGTATTGTTCTACCCAAACACAAGAACGCTACCAAGTGAAGAAATCGCCGTAAACATCGACCAAAGGAAAAACGACGTATACTTGCTGACCCAACATTCTACCGACCAGGGCAAATCGATATCATATTGGGGGCAAAAGAATACGGAGAAATAATCCGAACGGGCATTCGGAAAACAAAAGATTGACTACTCGGACAGCACACCGAATTTGGAGGGATTTTGTCCGGAAACATTCTACGACATGAGAGAAAAAATATGCAAGTTGTCAGTCTAATAACGTGCATTGTAATATTATAAGTTCTTTAGCTTCTCATAGTCATAAGGTTTCAATAAATAAAACAACATGTAGATGTAGATTTGCTCTCTGTGCTCTTTTGACTGAATTAAATTATTTTTAACATCATCCCACGCTTTTTGTAATCTGTATTTTAATTCTAAGGGATAGCTATCAAAGTTATACAGAGGTTCAAGTTTTTTAATTATATTTGAAGGTAAAGTGCATTGTTTACCAAATACTAACTCATAAGGTGTATATTTTGTACTGGTGTGAACTGTATTATTATAAGAAAAGCACCAAAAATGTACCCATGAACTCCATGTGTGTGGGTGTTCAGTACATAGTGTTCTGAGATAAGCACCTAGACTTTTATGTGAGTTTTCTAGAGAGCTTTGACTTTGATGGTGATAAGAAGTTGATGAAATATGATTTATTTTTAAAATTTGAAAAGTTTCTTTCAGGGTGGATGAAAGGAATTCTGTGCCCTGGTCCGAGACAATTGTTTCCGGAATGCCAAATCTCAAAATAAAGTTATCAACAAAACATTTCGCAACAGTGCTTGCTTCTTTATTTTGGATAAGATACCCTTCAACAAATTTAGATAATTCACACTGTAGAGTTTTATTATTAAATTCGTCTTCTGGCAGAGGTCCTACAAGATCCAAAAAAACTTTCTGGAAGGCGGAAGATGCTGTCGTGGGAATTGCCATTGGCTCAATGTTTGGTCTGCAATATTTAAACCTTTGACAGTAATCACAACGCTTGACAAAATTTATGACGTCACTATATAAGTTTGACCAAAAATAGGACTTTTTAATGTTATTATACATACGCGTAATTCCTACGTGATCTCCTGTGGGAAGAATGCGATAGTCATTTAATATAATTTGTCTCATTTCTACGTCATCAATTTTTTGTGAGTCTTTAATTATTGAAAATTTAACATTGGCAATTTATGCTGCAATTTGTACATCCTTTAATAAATAATTCAATAAATGCGCATTTTTAGTACTTATTTTTTTAAATTACTACTTCAGGTACCTGATACTTATTACAAATTTCTGTTAGGCCTCTCAGCGATTCCTTAAAGGCTAATGCCGATGGAGGTTCCCTAAATATAATTGTTTTTTCATTTTCCAAAAATATTACTTGGCCTATGACGTAACTGTATTTTTCATTTTTTATTAAATTTTCAAATTGATTTTCTGATACAGAGTAAAGCTCAACGGAGTTTTTCGGTTGTTTTAATAACTCCACCACTCCAGGGTGATCAAGCCTTTCGTGTACAGGATTATCAAAACATTGGCCTTTTTTCTCCATGGCAGTTTGTTGATGCCTAATGGCGTACACTGTTTTATCTGCGGAGGTTGACATATTTTTTAAATCATCTGATGTAATAGTTATTCTAGAAAGAGCATCAGCAACAACATTTTTACTTCCCTTGAGATA